CAGCAGCGATGCGCCGAACACACAACCAATGACAATCAGTATGTGGAAATCCATATTTGCATACTTTGCCGGCAGCAGTCGATATTTGTGTGTAGAGCGCTGTTCTTATTCTTATGCGGTTTACTGCAATAATGTGAGAAGTGAAAGAACAAGTTAAAATCAATTATTAATACGAAAGCACGCGAAGAGAAGCGATTTATTCCTTAAGTTTTTATTACTGAGTATCCTATAATTATTGTTTGTGTCAGGAATAAACCGGACTAGTCTAGGCATTAAAAACACTTGGCTTAAAACATTTATATTTGTTTATAAAGCCAAAGGTTTTACTCATTACCTCTCGAAAGTCTGTATCAATGGAAGTTTGTGTAACAATTGTTAATAATAATAATCAATTTTTTAAGAAGCGCAACATAATTAAATGTGAATTAGGTATAATTGAGTATTTTGGTTAAGTGTATTTCAGAACTGTTGTTTGCCGTCAAAAGAGATCTTTGTCGACAAACTGATTATTCTTTCAATGGGTTTTTTTTTTCTTTTCTTTGCGCACTTTATCAGCACTCGAAGAGCTTTTTTCGGGATTACTGATGACGTGTGGCTTTGCCATTAGTGAATGGCTGTTGGGCTGTTCAAAATATTTCACATAAAACAAAAAAAAAAACAAGATCAACGACATAACAATCAAAAGCAATTATAATTGTCATCCACTCGAAGCTTTCACATGCATGTGTGTTGGTGCGTGTGCCTTGTGAAAATGGGCATGGAACGTGCTTATCAGTTTGCCGGCCCGTGAATGATACCAAAAAAATATTTTTGTTATCGTCTTTGTTGTTGTTGACGTGTTAAAAAAATATATGGACTTGTTTATATCGTGTATTGTTTATTGTGCTTTCCTTTCGTAATTGAGATAGCAGTTGCACTTTATACTGCACGTACATACACATACGCATACATGCACATTTGCAGTGGTGGTCAGTGTTGGAATATTCCAGGCTAGGATCGATGACAGGCATCGATAAGTGCTCAGCAGCTTTGTCTTTCGATTGCCTGAGCTTAATTAAAGTTCCGTCGAATATCGAACAAACACACAGAATAACTTGTTTTGCCGAGAAACCTATTTATAAAGGCCGACAATTTACTTTTTTGCATAAAGTTTAGGTGGTCACCAAAAAACAACAACAAAAAATGCCCACAATTAAAAAACACCAAAGAAAGACTTGCAAATTTAACAGGAAATTCCGTTACATACATACATACGCCACCTTTTGACGCACACGTATGCAAAATATCAAAAGCCACTCACTAAAGCAGATATGTGGGATCTTCTACACTTTTTTTTTCCGAAGAGCGCTTGAACGGCTCTTGTGCAGAGCGTCAAATGGACACAACACGAATGACAGAAGGCGGCGACCAGCAGCGACGACAACGACGAAGCCAGCGCTAAAGCTCAGCTCGATGTTCTCTTGTGCTCTTTGCTCTCTATCGCTCACTCGCTCGCTCACAGAAACGGCGGCCGCATACAGTTAGAACTTGAAATTTCAAGTGTGCTCCATAAGCTGTTGGCTGCTGTTGCTTTTTAGCTGCGTTGGAGAATTCACAAATTGCAAATTCAATTCAAGGTTGTTGCTCTTTCTCTCCCGGCAAGCAACTGCTGGCTGGAATCGGCGTCATGTTTTTTCTTGTGTTGCTCAGGTTTGCTTGACATAAGAATTTGAGAAGCTCCAACTTAATAAATTTTTACTACTGAAGAAGTACATGCATATACAAGTATGCAAGTTAAACTTTGTTGGTATATTGTGTTGGTGTGTGTACATGCCTTTTTTTTTTTTTTAATTTTTACGTATTTGCAGTAAATGTTTGTATGTTAGCATTTGCACTCAATGTGTGTGCGTATTTGATTGGGGAATCACAGGAGTACATTTTTACTTTCTTTCTCTCTTATCTTCTCTGCTCCGTCGGCAACCCGCTGTGTCAATATTGTCTCATTTGCGCACTATAAATTCCAGTTAATTTTGATGACTGCGCTGTTGGCTTGCAGTGTGAACTGATAGAGGTGCGTCACTAACAACGTAAACATACCCATACACAGCCAGAGCCCACAATTTTTGTGACGTCGACTTGGCTCCTCTAATGATCGTTTTGGCATTAAGCATTTAACGGCTCTGTGCTAAATATGTGCCAGTCAGAACGATTTTACTGGCAGCGGCTGCTTTCAACTACTCTTCAGTGATGCACACAAAGGCGGGCATTTCCTTGAGCGTCCAGCGGCCGTAAAGAAGAAACTACAAATAAAAGCCGGTAAAGGTCATCAACCGGAAGAACGCCGCTGTGGAATGTGCTCAAATGTGTACACACATACATGCATACATACATACATAGGCTTGTTTGTGTGAAAGTCAAAACTAGCGGAGGCTACGGTTGCTGGCACAGCTACGAGAAAGAGAATTATAATCAGCAAAAGCAACAACTTCTGCAACAAGTATATACATAAGTATGTATGTATATATATGTGTGTGCCTCAATAATTATGTATGTTTATGGGCGAGTCGTTTGCTAAATTTACTGCTGTCCTGGTTACGAGCTGCGGCAACTGCAAATTTGGCCCAATTTTGTTGTTGTTCAATTAGTCGGAAAAAGCAGCCGCTGCCCATATGGAATTTTTCACTCACACCCTACTATTGGTGTAACGGCAATGCTGCAAGTGCTCGCCACTCTCTCGCTCTCTCACGCACACACACACACACTCATTCTGGTTTTTTCTTTTCGTTTGTTGGCTTTGTTTTATGTTATTCATAAATGCAATTTTGCTTTTGCTATTTTTGATAGTCACGCCGCCGCGACGGGCAAGTGATAAATATAGAAAGTACTCCGCGTTATTTATTTATGTTTATGCAACATGCAATGTTATGTGCGCTTTAATAAAGAGAGCGTGCTATGTGAAGAGTGTTGCGTGGGAGCATCAAGTTCGTTGCTGACGATACCCATTTTCTCTTTTAGGTAGGTCACTAAAATCCGAATCTGTGTACCGAAAGTCGCATTTAACAATGACTCACTCAATATTTCTTAGAAACAAATATTACGAAAATTGATTCACTTTAATTATTATTGATTGTTGACGTGCCGCAGCCGCAGCCGCTGTAGATTATCAATCGTATTTAAGAAAATCAACTTCTACGCTTATCGCATGAATGAAAACCACATTCATTATTTCCGATTATTTTTGAGAGAAACTGTCAGGCTGATTGTGAATGGAAGGGTAGCCGGAGGAACGGCAGGGCTGGCGGCTGCTGCTTCGTCTGCCAACAATGTGTAAATGTCAAAAGAAATGTGCATACAAATGAGGACACACATATTACGAGTGCAACTTATAGGGGCCAGCACATCAATTATGTTTATTTCTTGTTTGATAAAATCGTAACAAAGGCAAAGAACAGCCAGTCACACACGCACACACTTACACAGATGCATATGTATGTGTAGAACCGGGTCTGTTAGACAGCGCCACACAAGCTCTTGGCAAATCAAATTCAAATGTAAGAAATAAATATTTTCAGCTGCGCCCGGTGGGTTTAACTATTTATTATTTTGCACTTTAATGTCATTTAATTAATTTGCATCGAGTGAAAGTATTAATACGAAAATATATTCAACGTGGCTTATTAAGCGCCTAATTGGCGAGACTGAAGAAAAGAGAATCATTCGAAATGTATGCGAAACACACACACACACACGTACACATTTGTATATGTATATACATATATGCTCATGATTATGCCTGCCAAGTGACCTAAACCCGATTTTGTGTGTGCGGCTGTTTGTCTTCGTCTTTTGCCTGATAGATATGGAGCACAGCGAACCAACACACATACATACAAAAATAGACAACGAAGTGATGGTCTGGATTAAAGTGTGGGCGTTGAAAGTCAGAAGAGATGGATGCAAAAGGGCGACGTACGCAAAGCTCAAGACAAAAGGGCGTCTCTGCCGCTGTCGCCTTTGTCGCACAAAAACAACAAATTCACTGCACTTAACACACACACACACACACACTCGTCGAGTAAGCAGAGATAGACCTGCTTTTACTTTTGCAATTACCGTTGCCTTTTTCCACACTTCCAACTTCTTGCAACGTCAACAGTTTTACAACATTTTCACATCGAAATCACAGAGCACTATTTCTGCCTTCACTACACACACAGATACATAGTACATGCATGCAGTTTTTGTTGTTGGGACCATCCGCCATTTGCAAGCTAGTGTTGTAAACGTGTATGTGTGTGCTTGAGTGTGTGTGTGTGTGGTAGCGTTGTCGTGTCGGCAATTTTTTCATTTTCGGCATCAATATTCATCTACATTTCCTTATGCTTTTACATAATGCTAACTTTTTAAACTTAGCCAATTTCATTTAGCTTCGAGACTTACAATTCTTGGAGATATAGTTAGTGCTAATGTTGAACTTAAAACATTTAAATTAAAGATTTTCTTCCGCTCGTGTTTGTATTATTGCTTTGCGTTTGTTTCACTGTAAAGTGTGGCGGTCGGCATTGCGTGGTCGATAGAATGCGGTGGTCTGCCGATAAAATATTCGTGCGACGCTAAATGAAAACCCAAAGTGGAAGCTGCCGATATTTAATGCTTAACTTTAACAGGGTGGTCATAATTATCAAAACGAAGAGAAAAAAAATCTATTAAAGAAACCTGTTCTTATTCTACCGGCACGCACTTCCAAATCATTACAGGCAAATATTCGCATTAAATACATACAAAACATCGTTTAATGGACAATTGATAAATTATCTTTGTTTGCTTACAATTTTTTGAGTGGTTGTGAGATAAGCCCTATTCTCTCATGATCATAAACGTTGATCAACACAACACAGAATATCTTAAAGAAAGCTTAACGCACAGTCGAATTGATAAATTTGTGGCTATCGATAAATCAACAAACGACCAGTTGAAATTGTTCGATAGAACTAAATGAACGCCAATTATAGATCCAGATCGTTCATTCGGCTTGTCACACGTTTGAACAAATTTAGGCACAACTGTCATAACAATCGCACCCAAAAAACAAATCCAAACACGAACCTCGGAAAAATTCGAAATAAAAACCGCCGACTGCGGAAACAATGATTGGAAAACTATCTGCTTGGTACCGCGACAATGTTTCCGAATCCGTCGACTGCGTTGCATGTCGACTAATAAGCGGGTTTGGCATGATCGGTATTGGAGCTTTTCTCCTCGCACAAGCAAAGCGCCGCCGCTCACCTGTGGAAAATTACGCCATGAAAAGCATTGCGGCAGGTACGTATGCTAAAAATATCCAACGATAACCTTACATTGACTATGTTTACTAAACAGTTGCTGGAGTTTTGGGCGTGGCCCGCTTGGCAGATGCAGATTTCCTAAAGGCGAAGACGGAGCCTACAAAGGAACTTAAAAAGATAACAGGAGATCATCCATTTTTTAAGCGCTGATGTACATTAATTATAAACGTATTAGTTAAATTTAATTTGTTCAATACAATTATTCTCGTATGTAGACATGTCTCGTTTCAGCGTCCCACCTTTCCCAGCTTGGTGTCAGTCTTTGGATTAGCAGTCAGTGTCTGCACTGAGACAATTGTTTCGTTGATCTGAGTTTGTAGCTGTCGTAGACTTTGAATCTGCAGTAGGCGCAGAATACGCATGGGGTAATCGAGCATTGGATCGTTGGCAGAGACTACATCGTTGCCCTTGTCGAAGGGGAACGGAGTGCCGGTAATCGCTTTTCGATGCTTGGCTGCCGGACCAATGCGTTCATGCACAATGCGCGCTATAGCCTCCAATTGCAGCAAATGATTGGGATGATGGGGCACATTCAGTTTTGTGGCTAGGGCACGAACGCCAGCAATAAATTCCTTGTCATGGACTGTAGTTTATTTGCAATTAGTAATGCACTCGACTTGTTTTTAGCATAAACAACTCACCATTTATCTTGCCATCGAATATGGTTTGAATTTTCTGTTGCGATTGTGCGCCATTGTTCTTTGTCAGATTGGGGTCCTGACCATTGATCACTTTGTATTGTGACGGATCATCGAGAAACTCTAGACGCATTGCATGCCCCACCATCCAGGTGAGCTGCTCCAGTTGTGTGTCATATGGGGGCATTTTTAGATCAATGCAGTACTTCTTGTAGCCCTCTTCCCATATTTGCATATTGTCCAAGCTGCGCAATTTTTCGCGATCCTCAATCGTATAGAGACGTATCTTTTGATCTTCTAGCCACAGTACGGTGCTTGCAAACTCCTTGCGGTCTATGCGGATGAGAGTTAGTCGGATTTACACTAGTATTGGACGGCGCATTCTATACTCACTGCTTAATGCCACATCACTTGGAGTTGGATGACCTAAGGCCTCGAGCTTAAGCTTTAACATTATTTTGTTCTAGTAGCTTTTAATAGACAATTTCACAGATTAACAAAATTAAATGCAGCAATCAGACGGCGTGCAAAAACAAAACAAGTGACCATTTCATATTCTGTTCTGCATATGGTCACACTGCCGCACAGCTGATACTTATCGATAACATTCGGTGTATTTTGTCATCTTCAATCAGTTTTGAATTGCAGTTTTATATTGTTTCCACAATGGCCAGCGGCGATGTAAACGATCCACAGTTGGCTTTTATACGTGATCAGGTGCAGCTATGCATGCTGCCTAGCCTCAAAAAAGATCTAGATGAAGTGCAGGTTCTGCCGGCGCATTTTGAAGCTTACCATTCCATGCTCAAACAAGAGCTGCCCGAATTGTATGATCTTCTACAGAGACACGAGGATGTTCTATTAAATGATATCTTATACCAGGAGGTTTGCCCAAGAAAATAACAATTATTCATGTATCCATATTCAATACTTAATTATTCCTTATTTAGCTGCGTGCACAGCTTGTGCTACTGTTTTGTGAACTGACCGCTTCACAGACGATTTACAGCCTGGACGCAGGCGACGCTAAACAAGTACTGCAGAATGCGAATCAAATCTTAAGCAAGCTCGCGTCCATATGCCAGAAGGCTGAGGAATCCTATATTTTTAATTATTATGAGCGGAATCTACACAAGGATTGTTGGAAGCGTCAATTGGGGGCAGTACATGGCTACGTCAGATACTTGGAGGTACATTATCGTGATCAGATCTTTTGATATATCTTAAGGTATAACGAAGTTCCTTTACAGATCCGCTACGCAAATGATGTGAAAATGTCTGCACAGATGTTAACATTCAGCCTAGCTGTGGGCCTCAACGTACGTGAGTGCTATCAGTCGGAATACAAGCAGCTTGGCGTGCGCATTTTTACACATATGCTAAAACATGGCGTAAGATATATCTGGAATCTCAGTATACCTCATATGCTTTTAATCGATTCTTACCCAGCGTTCTGCGGACATACAGCAACTGAATGTACAAGGCGTGATCTATGAGCATGTCTTTAGGGATGTGCAGAGTATGGACACAATCGCCGAAACAAATGCCAATTGGGACTGCCTTTGCCTGTGTTTGGATCACCTTACTGAGCTTGATGCCTTTTCGGTATATAAGCCCACTTTATAAAATGTAGAATCCAATTAATGCTAAGTACTAATATTACAGTGGAATCAGTGCGATGATATGCTCGAGCGCCTTATACAGAATGTGTCACTGGCCTCCAGTACGGAAATGTCAATTTGCCTAATGCAAATAATAACAAAGCTTGGCTATTATTTTGCTATTAACAAGGATGATATCAAAAGTGCAATAGCTAGTGATCTAACTCAACCGAATCAAATGGTAGCCTGCTTAGAAGTCTGTGCCTCGCTTAATGTCTGCACCAATTTTCGATGGGCTAAAAGCATCCTGCATATGCTTGTGCTGGAGTCTGAGAAGCTGTTGCGAAGCGCAGAAGCCTGTGCTCAGATGCTAGCCGCTATGCAGCGCTGTTTTTTAGTGTGCGTATTGTCGATTCCTCTGCAGGCTCTGCATATGCATTTGGGCGAATTTTATGCCAAGTTTGTAGCTGTGCTTCTGGAGAGCATTGTCGTGCATGAAAGGACTCAACCAATCTTAGGGGTAAGTGTACTTATTCCTATCTTACTTATATATTGCTCATTTACTTAAAGAGAGTCGGGCTTTTTTTTAAATAGCTAACGCAGCAATTTTTTCAAATATTCATTTATCAATTGAAAAACTGCCCATCCGATCATCAAGCTGCTAGTAATCTCAAATCCTATCTGACTGCGCTGGAGAACTTACCTGCCGTTATTGTCAAATAAAGTTCAGCTATAAACGCATTCAAAAGTTCCTGAGAATTATTTATTGATCAAAGCGTAATGTAACGCCTACAAGACGATATTGTTACGACTTTTAATAATGTAAAAAATGATCAAATTAAATGGGTCTGTTTTCATTCCTGTTCTATTTCTGTACACGCTTGCCTCGGACAACTGCAACTCAACTAGATCGATGAGAAACTTACACTATAAATATTGCGTAGTATCTTATGGGCCGTTACTTGTTATACTCTTTATACTGTCTTTGGCTGTACCGTGTCTTGGCTGTAACATATTTTAATCAACGAGATAACCGATATCGCTTTTGAACAGATGGAATGTCTCATGCACAACCTTTACTACCCTTCTTTATTACAATTCAGCTGAGTAAATGAAAATACCACGGCAGCAAGAGTACCCAAAAAATTATATAGCAGACTGCAGAGTACTCACGCGTCTTATCGCAGCTGAGTATACTTATTCATTTTGAAGAAAAAGCCCGAAAAAAAGAATTATTAATTTAGAAAGCCGAAACTTCTCAGACGAACATTATGTTGTTGGCTTGGAAAAAATTCGGACGAGGGAGGCGTCTAATATTACCGTGTCTGGCTGTGCTATTGTTAGTGCTTGTTATAATATACACATCACAGAATCTATCAAGTTTGTGTTATCAAAGTTCCAAGATTCTCAACCGATTAGGCTTTAATCAGAATATTGTGGAGGATGTCTTATTGTCGCGCTCCAAGCCTCCGCCAGGACGCACTATATTCTTTATCGAGACAAGCTGTCATCGTGCAGATTTCCAGTACAATTTGAGTAGCATAAAGGCGCATCAGGCCTGTCCTATTGAATCTGCCGCCTTGCATAATCCAAATATGCAAGTTTTTGTTCTGTTCGCCTGCTCCACCCATCATGCCAAATCGATGCCCATCGTTGATGCCCTTCTAAGCTACAAGAATGTGCAGTTCCGAGAGTTAACTCTAGAGCGTTATGCACAGGACACGCCTGTTGCAGATTGGATCAAGAATGGAAAGCTATTTAGCTCAAGGTTAGAAATGTTTTTATTGTAATTCAGATGCTTTGGCTAACTTATATATTCCACTTAGATTTCTGATGTATCACCTATCTGACCTACTACGTTTAATAACCCTATATCGCTTTGGCGGCGTTTACCTGGACATGGACGTACTGAGTTTGCGTACCTTGGAGGATGTGCCACTAAATTATGCGGGTGCCGAGTCATTAGATAGCATTGGCAATAGTGTTATAAGTTTGGAGCCCAATGGCTTTGGCCATCAGCTTGGCGAGCTATTTCTGCAGAACTTCCAGAAGAATTATATAGGCAGCGCGTGGGCCCACAATGGACCCATGGTCTTAGTGCGCGTCCTGAGGGAGCTGTGTGGAACTCAAAATATTACGCTCATGGTGAATAATCGCGAACGTTGTTACGGCTTTCAGGTGTTCAATGTGAGTGATATTTACGAGATTCCATGGAGGCAGTGGACTCTATTCTTCGAGCCGAAGCACGCGAATCTAACGCTGGAGCGCACCAAGGACTCGCGCATGGTGCACATGTGGAATCATTTAGTAAGAAAATGGCCCCTTAAGATTGATTCAAAGGCAGCTTATCTGCATTGGGCGGCGCAGCATTGTCCCAGGGTCCTAGCGGCTACAGGAGAGCTCTTTTATTAATTCACAAAATATGGCTTACGTTTTGGGAATATTAAATTTAAATTTTTAATGTTTGTTAAATTATTTTTTTGTTCGTGCCCAATTTATTGTGCTTAATATGGCAAGCTTCTCACGCAGGCGAGTGCTGTAATTATAATCATACTTATTCTTTAGTTTTGAGATTAAGTCAAGTATTTGTCTAGAGGCAGGTCTTTCATATAACAATTCATTTTTAACAAGTTACCACGTCTGACAATAGAAATTAAATCTATTTTTAAATTAATTAAAAATTTAATGATGTAATGTGAAAAGAGTTTTGAGATAACATACATATTTCGTGTATTGGATTAATTGTCAATTTATCAGTAATGTTGTTCCATTATTATGTCTGCGACTATTGTGTTTTTTCTAATTTTGTCTTATTGGTTCCAGTGCCTATCCCATTGGTATGCTTGTAAACATGAGATACTACGTCAAACGATGTTTAGTCTTCACTTATGGGTTAATTCTGTCTGTCTATAAACTGTAACTCGTTTTTTTTTTTTTTGAATATATTTAGAGTACATTGTCTTTCATAATTTTATAATGTATTTTCATGGGGATCTGATAGAGGAACAAATTGGCCTCAGTAGTGTTCCTTATAATCACTATTAAATACAAATATATGTGCGAATATCTGCATTGCAATATCTGCAAATTCTCTATTAAATAGCAATTAAATATTCGAAGCAGGTTATGTATTAATAATTAAATGAACAATTCACAAAAATTAGGGTTATTTTAGCGCGCCAATTGTTTAAAAGTCTGTTAATTTCTTTAGTGTATACAAACCAATCCTTCCCAGTGCGTAATAAAATTGTTCAACACTGAAATGCAACCGGTGTTAACTAGTAGTTCGATAGACCTTTAGAATGAACGACATGAATTTGGTTGTCAATCATCATATCATATCATATTTTCTCTGCTTAGAATTAATGTTTAAAGCATGTATGCTTACAAATTTCATACGCTTGCAATTAAGACCGACTCTAACTCGATGCACTCAAATTAAATCCAAAGTCGCCACTCTACAATTAAGCATATTTAACACAATTGCAGAACTACTAGACAACCCTCTTTTTCTTTATTAGCAAAACAGTATTGTAATCGATATCGGTTATCGAAATCGGATAGAAGTTTAGTGCTTACGCTAATATGTATATACATAATTTTTCGTCAATGGGGAATTGAATTTTCTTCTTGTAATGCCTTTAATGTAAAGCCATTGATTCAGAAATGGACCAAATTTGCCGTGTTTGCATGGACAGTTCCGTTACGTTGGTCGACATATTCGCCGAGCGGCAACAACAATCGAATAAAGACCCCAGCCTGGCCGAAATGCTAAATGAGTTCTGCGAGGTGAAACAGCAGGATTTGCTGCCCCAGCACATATGCCTGTCGTGCGTGCTTGCGGCGCAAAATGCATATAAATTCAAACGCACCTGCGAGGAGAGCAACCGGAAATTGCTACAGCTGCTACATATTAAGGAAAAGGAAAATGCCAAGTGCGCATTGCCCTTCGTGGAAGCAGTCTATCACAAGGAATTGCTGGGGGTCAACTTGAACTGCATTAAGGTAGAGCCGCAGTATCAAGAGGAAACCGCTGCCAACGAAAATAAGCTTTCCTTGACGGATGAAAAATCTGCAGAGCGAGTGCCCCTAAAGCGGCACAAGTCGAAAAGCCCGGCCAGGCGCAGACCACAGAGCCATGGAGAAAGGCCCTACAAGTGCAAATTCTGCGAGAAGGGATTCGGGCGATTGTACCTGTTGGGCCTGCACGAGAAGTGAGTGATGTGCAGCATACCATTTGTAGACAAAGTTAACCCTCAGTTTTTTATATGCCAACCAGGCGCCACACTGGTGAGAAAACGCATTTCTGTGGCACCTGTGGCAAGGGCTTTCTACGCGGTCACGATTTGACCGTTCACACTCGCATTCATACTGGCGAACGTCCGTTCCAGTGTCCGCATTGCCCGCGATCTTTTATACAGAACCACATCCTTACGGCTCATATGCGACATCATCCCAGTAAGGACTTTCGCTGTGATCACTGTCCCGCTGTTTTTAAACTGCATTCTCAGCTAAGCCTGCACCAATCAGTGCCGCACGGCAAACCTAATAAATTGGCCAGGAAGCCTGCCGCAAAGCGAGTGGCGCCCAAGAACAAGCAACAGACTGCAAGGTCTGGCGAGGGGCAAAAAAAACAAAGACCGTCAAACATTCTAGAACGTGGATTACGAAATGGATTGGCGCCAGTCTGCTACGAGGAGCTGGACATAGAATGTGAATTGGCAGCCATGGAGGCGAAGCCGAACATCGGTCAGGCGCCGCTCAAGCTGAATTACAATCCAAAAACGTCTAAGAATCGCTCTGTACTTATCAAAGGGCGGCAGAAACACAGCAAGACCAAGAGCGGTAAAGGCGGCGGTGAAATGTGAATATTGTCTAATAACAATGTCTGTGCACAAATAACCGTTGAATTTCCTATGCTCCACAGATCCCACAGCGATGCCAAGACTCATTTCTGCGACACCTGCGGCAAGGGGTTCCCGCGGCGCTATGGATTAATAACACACATTCGGGTTCATACTGGCGAGCGTCCATACAAATGCCAAGCCTGCGGTTTCGCATTTACTCAAGGACAGGCTCTCAAGAGGCACATACGCAGAGTTCACAGCAGTGGCGTTCATAAGGAGTTGCGCAACGATTCCAAAGATTTGCTGGTGCCAGCAATAAAGCGGGCGATCGTACGTGTGGCGCGAATTCAATTACCACCACACCTATTGACTGTTAAATGTGATGACTGAATAAGGCGCTCTTAAGAGGCGTTATTCCAACTGTATTCTTATTTGTTGCCTTTTTATTTATGTATTATGACTGTCATTATTTATTAGTACTCGTATTTTATTATTTGATTTTAAATGCAATATTTAGTTATAAAGACAATATTGAAGTGGTGCAATTTATAACATACATTTTTTTCAAGAACTCTATTTTACTAATTTATATTAAAGAAACTGGATGCATTATCAACATGTCAAGCTGACAAAAAAAAAAAACATTTTAATTGATAAAATTAATTTGTTTTGTACAAATTGTAGTGTATTGTAATATTAATAAAAGTTTTAAGCAGTTTGCAAATTAAATGGGGGATTTCACAAACTATATGTATTTATTAAGATTTCTTATTGTAAATAAAATTAGTTTAAAACTATTGATTTTTATACGAATCGATAACATAAACATCAACAGGTGTTTGTTTAAGCTGTGTGTATCGATATATCGGGCACACTTAAAATCACGACGTGTTTCGATAGTCGATATTCACAAAGTCGTGTGAGTCGAAGTCTTTGGCCATCTCTAGTCCTGATTATCTAAACATATTTTTTGTTAAAATGAACGTTAACGCTAGAATTTTAACTCATAGAGTGGTGCAACAATGCACCTTAAAACGCATTGGTGAGTATATGTGATAGTTCGGTTAAAAGTGAGCATTGATCACGCGACAATTTCAGTCACATTTTCCACTAAGCCGACACAGCAGGCTGCGGCAGTCGCAGTGCCGCAACAGCAGGAAGCACCTGGTCCGTCAGTTCGAAAACCCATTGTGCCTGCACACTATCGCTTTGTATATCCAGAGTTTCTGCCCGATCCCAAAGTGGAATGGCGAAACTCGGTGCGCGAAAAGCTGGAACGTCTGGATATGCTGGACCGTCGGCGCCAAATCGAACTACCCGAGTTCTATGTTGGCTCCATTCTGGCTGTGACCAGTTCTGATCCCCATGCGGCCGGTAAGACCAGTCGATTCGTAGGCATTTGTATACACCGTGAACGCTGTGGACTTCGCGCTCGCTTTATTCTTCGCAATGTCATCGATCACCAGGGCATAGAGGTAGTCTACGAACTGTACGATCCCACCATACAGAAAGTCGAGGTATTGCGTCTAGAGAAGCGTCTGGACGATAGTCTATTCTATTTGCGCGATGCACTGCCGGAATATAGCACATTTGATGAGCATATGGAAGCGGAAACGTTGGAAGAAGGAACTCCAGTGCCTGTCAACGATATAAAAGTAGTGTTGCGTCCACGACCCTGGTTGGAGCGCTGGGAACGGCAGAACTTACTTGGCGTGGCTAACATTGATCAGTATCTGAAGGACAAGCATCGCAAGTCTGCCGCAAAAGTGCAAAAGCCTTGGGAAAAATACGACCTAATGAAGCAATACCGCTCCACCATTCCCGAAGAGGAGCAGAAGGAGATCTTTGCAGAGGTACACACCGAATTGCATACTTTGGAGCTGCAGCGTAAGCGCAACAAACGGAAACGTACCTTTGTGAAACCCAAGCAGCTGGCATAGATGCTATATGGCCCTGCATTTGTTATTCTAACTTGTAGTCTAATAAAACCAAAAATCTTAATTGACATTGAAAGTTGAACTTTTATGCATATATATATTAACATGGATTATGCTAGAGTAGTTAGTATTATAGGTCATTATTGTAGGGAGCGCCTAGCAGCTAAGAAGCAAAATAATTTACATCCCACATCACTTGAATCATCAATACACGCGATATTTATAGAAGTTTACAAACGAAATTGTTGCATTCCAGCCTATGATAGTAACGACAAGATACAAGAGAAAGATAATGGGCAGCGCAATGAGTATGAGGCGCGTATTCTTCAAGTGTGGAATACCTGCAAGGTGTCAGTTGTGCGGAGAAATAGATTAGTTTTTGGTTTTTATTATAAATGGCTTCTACTCACAGTTGTAGCCCAGGAAAGTGATGTACACATAGTAGCCCATGCCCATCAGCCAAAAGGAGTTGCCCAGGAATCGTGATATGAACCAAGTCTGGCTTATAAGCCAATTGTAAAAGAACAGCTGTATGAAATGCAATAGCATCAGCGGCGGAAAGAAGGCGTTCAGATGGACATCAAATGCATAGCCCCACTCAATGTCCGGCTCCAGATTATTGGTGCGCAAGTAACGGTTAGAAACCACCCAAAAGAATGATGCAATTATGATGCCAGCAAATATGCAATCAACGAAAACCACATAGAAAATAAAGGAAATGCTTTGCCAAATGGACAGGCCCAGTACATATGCAAAGCCCAGAGAGGTAACTGAAAGCACATTTGGAATATTACTCCTTGAAAATTCGACTTGCTTCCAACCACTTACCACATAGACAAATGACCAGCAGCACCAGAAAAGCGGGATCGTCGCGGGCGAATTGAGATTTGGTTTGCTTCCTGTAGTTAAAGTTTCTATATACCTTCTGTGGCGCTATAAACAAGTAGATCATTTGCCAGAATGCAAATTCAAAGTCCATTTGATTGAATTTG